GTGGCACTGGTAAATAATTTCGACTTCATAAAAATTTAAAACTTTTGTGCATCAACAGATGTTAACAAAGTAAAAAGGTAACCTATAGAATGGGAGGAAATATTTGCAAATCATGCCATTCGAAGGACAAATATGTTATGTAATGTATATTAAGAACTGTTTTAAGACTCAACATCAAAAAGGCACACAAACAAAATTTGACTAGAGAACCTGAATACACATTTCTCCAAAGAGGACAATCTCTCTCTGGATTTTTTTTTTTTTGACAGTATTGGAGTTTGTACTCAGGGCTGCATCCTTGCTAGGCAAGGTTACCGCTTGAACCACTCTGCCAGCCCTTTTTTGTGATGGTTTTTTTTTTTTTAAAATAGGGTCTCTAGAACTATTTGCCCAGGTGGCTTCAAACCACAGTCCTCCTGATCTCTGCCTCCTGAGTAGTTAGGATTACAGGTGTGAGCCACCAGCACCCAGCTAGTTTTAAATTTTATTCTGTGTTGGAACTTATTTTTTTCTCATTTCCCAAGGCATTCTGCATTTGTTATAACTGTACAATGCTCTGACACTATTAGTTCCTATACCTCCTTCCCACTCTCCCTGTTTTTATTTCCCACCATCCCCACCCCCATTACTCAATTTCCAATTCTTACATGCTCAAACAGTGTTAAAGCTCCCAGATCATCCCCTTAGGAACCAGAGTTTTATTCCCCTACAGCCTTATTGAGGAGGCTGATTGCTTCTTACTTATTCAAATATTTGGTCTGTTGCTGAATTGTAGACCTTGTTATTGTAATAGGTTCTCTCACATATGCAAGGAAGTAAAAGAGAAACTTTGCCCAACAAATGCATAACTCAGGGCACAGAAACTTAAATATGAAGTTCGAATAATAAAAGATTATCATGAATGATTACTTGGAAACAAGTTTGAAAACCTAGGTATAATGAATATATGTGGATAAATTCAATAAATTGAAATTACATCTAGAGATACTCCCTCAGAAGGAAAGGCTAAATTCAGGTGGATTTACAAATAAATTTTAACTAAGCTTTTATAAATGGATTTGATGGCATATGTAAGCAGCAATAAGAAAACCACTTTAAAGGAGGGTCCAAATGACTGAGGAGTATGTGAAGATATGCGTTAAATCACCAGTAATCAATTTTACTGCAAATTGAAGCATCCAAGAAAGATAATATCAAATGTAGAAAGATGTAGAAATACTTCTGGTGATAATGTAAACAGTTGCAGCCAGTATGAAAAGTAACCTGCTTGTTCCTAGTAAAATTAATTAGGCCAAAAAACTCTTTATCCTCCCTCCTATTGGATTCCTGGGTAAATATTCTAATGTAGTTCAGGTCCACAAGGTGATACATACTAGAATATTCTTTGTGACCATCAGAAGTTGTATCTATTCCTATAGGAATAGATGAGTAAAATGTGGTAAATATGTATTACAAATTACCATATGACAACATTAGAAGTAATGGATTACAATTAGTGTACTATGCATAGAGGAATATAGTAGATAAAAATCAGTTGTGTAGAAAGGATGAATTTATAGCATGCCACCATTAATATAAATTTCAAATCCACAACCTGTGACCTATTTGATAAGGGACACACTTAAGGATGCATGCTGAACATACCTTTGTGTATGCTCGTAGGGAATAGGAACTGGGAATGACAGTGGAAAGAACCAAGAAATGAATGTTGCATTAATATTATTTTGAAAATGTACTATGAATTATGGTCCAAACACTCAATACAAAACTCAATAAAACCAAGAGCTGTGTCTTTTTCTCTTCTTGGCTTGAGTCTGTTAATGAAAGGCAGAGTCAGTATAACCCCCTCAAATAGCCAAGCAGAGAGCGAGCTCTAAGAGACTCTGGAGCTTCAGGTCCCAAAGGGAAAGCAGCTAACTTCATGACTTTGGGTAGGAAACACTGTGGATGGGTATGGAACATTATATTATTACCAGAAAGGTAGGATGTGTGCAATGATGCTGCTGAGGGAGCTTTGCTTTAAGCAACCCCCTGTGGCTAAGCTCTGACACTTGAACATCAAAAGCGTATACAATTAAAAATTATTAAGACTGTAAAAGCCATACATTCAACTGACTCAAAAATGTGAAGATGCAATATATAAATACATAGGCAAAATAATTTAGTAAGTACAAACTATAAATACATGCATATACACAAATATTAACTTCCTTTCCATTAGCTATGTAGGTATATAAGTATATTTATCAGATGGATTGTTAAGACAGTTTGCCTCAGATCTTGACTTAAATGCTCCCTGGCACCCTCAATCCCTTCATCCTTTTCTCAGAATTTAACTCTTATATAGTATAGATTTTACTTAACATGTCTTTCTTATGTCTCTTTATTCTGTAAAGGGATTTCTTTTGCCTAGTTAGTTCACTACTGTATATCCATTGCCTAGCTTAGAACAAAGCCTGGAATTCACTGGCACTTAAAACTTTTAAGAGATGTACATCCACTCTTCATATGAACACACCTTCACATAAACACAAATATCTAGATGGTCCTAGTAGCTATATTAAAGCATAAATTTCCAATAATGACAAACGATCAGGTCTTCACAAGACATTGGGTTGAACAGTTGCAGATAAAACAAACTAGCTGGGCACTGGTGGCTCACGCCTGTAATCCCAGCTACTCAGCAGGCAGAGATCAAGAGGATCGAGGTTCAAAGCCAGCGTGGGCAAATAGTTCATGAGACCCTATCTCAAAAAACCCTTCACACACACATGCACACACACACACACACACACACACACACAAAATAGGACTGGTGGAGTGTCTCAAGTGTAGGCCCTGAATTCAAGCCCCAGAACTAAAAAAAAACCCTAAAAAACAAACTTTAGCATCTCACCATGAGAAGAAACATCTGACTGAAAAATACAAATACTGATGCTAAAGACATGGGTAAAAAAGATTAACAACATTACAAGCAAAGCTTAATTGTAAAAGCAGAATCAACCAGTGACTTGAATTTATGTCACCTTTGAGGAAGAAATCAGCTGCCACACTTAGATTAAAAAAATCAAGTAGTAATTGGACACCAGTGGCTCATGACTGTAATCCTAGCTAATTGGAAGGCTTGGTAGTTTAAGGCCAGCCCAGGCAAATACTTTGCAAGACCCCATCTCCAAAATAACCAGAGCAAAATGGACTGGAGTCACGGTTCAAGTGGTAGAGTGCCTACTTTACAAGTGCAAAGCCCTGAGTTCAAACTCGAGTCCCACCAAAAAAATCAAATTAGTGAATAACTTTATGGTCTGAATCATTATTCTTCTTTCTTTAGGCTTGGTAAATCCACTGCAATCTCGGGAAAGCTTCCAAAATAAGTCATGGCTTAATACTTAGAAATTAAAAGAAGTATTCCTGTACTTTTAGGAAATATGAGAAAAATAAAGAAATGATATGAATTAAATTTATGATAGGAATTCTGGATTAGATGTAATATATTTGTCATTGTTATATTTATTTCTGTTCAAGGTGTGAAGTATTGAGGCATATTAAGCCTGTAGTTTAAAGGGAAATTGCCTTAATCAACATTTAAGAAGTCATTTTCTTATTTTAATTAGATACAAGTACAAATTGTTAAATTATGAAAGTAGTAGTCATTATTGCAATCCATGCACATCTTTTAAATCCTTTATTCCTTCCTAATTTGTTCTAGTCTGCTTTTATACATACTTTTCATATAATGCCCAAGGCTCTAACTATTCAAGATAGCTAAGTTTCAGCCAGATGCAGTGACACAAGCCTACAACCCCAGCACTCAGGAGAGTGGAGGCAGGAGGACTGTGAGTTTGAGGCAAGCCTGGGATACACAGCAAGTTCCAGGGAAGCCTGGACTAAACACCTATATAGTTTAAAAAAACAAACAAACAAAAAAGATGGCTAAGTTTTCATCTCAACAAGGTTTGCCTCCCCACATCCACTAAGATGAAACAGAAAGGAACTGTACCCCACTCTCATCTTTCCTGTTACTTTGAAGAATAGTAATAATTCTAAAAACTTTTGGGCATCAACTCTTAATTAAATGACCTCCTTCACAGCATTACCTTATTATATTATACCACACAATATATTTAGACCTATATTGAAAGAAGAAAATCAAATAATTCCTGTAAGATGAGACATTCATTAACCTGATGGATTCCTAATTATTTGATTCCAGTCTCTTCATTGATTATGCTGAGTCACTGCCATAAATGATTTTAATTCCTAAAGGAAAAGCCTGTTAAGGAATTTTAAGTATATTCATCCTTTCTGTGAAACAGAATAATACATAGTAAATTAACTTTTAACAAACAAAATGTAATAATCTTCTCAGCTTTATGAAGTCTGTACTCAGCTTTTTATATATTTATTATATCATAAGTTTTCCCCTTTGGATAAGTAATTGTGCCACATGGGAAATTAAGGATTTCTCACATAGATAGTGAACACAGGCCATGTGAGGTAATATTATATTTCCAAGAGGCAAAAATCTTAATTCAAATTAAATAAAAAAATACCCTGAAATTTACTGTACCACAAAAATGACAAAGTGAAGGATGGCGCAGGCATCATGCACGACTGGATCTAGATCAAATAAATAACGCTATCAGAGTTCTGTCTCTATTTTATTTCTCTTTGGGAAGGCTTTCTGCATGGGGTGGCAAAAAAGGCTACTGCTGAGTTTTTAACCCCACTGAATCCTCAAAACTTGCAATTCCAAAAATAAACAAAAACTCTTCTCTTCTTTTATTCATAATAATACCCCTATAAAAGCTCTACTGGTTTAGAAAGGGCCATGTGATAATCTCTAGACTGAGGGAAAATATTTGGCCAGCCTGTGCCTAATCTACTGCTGTCCCTGAACAGTTTTGTCACAATCATAGCCACTGAGGGTAGAGTAAGTGGGATACAAAACAGATCAAAAAATAACAGATGACTGCTATTCAGGCCATTTCAAATAATGGATGATCATAAACTGAAGGCTCTTCCTTATATGCTGCATGCACAGAATTACTAACCAAACAATTCATTGATATTCAACAAGGATTGAATGGTGACTAAAAGTTTTCTTTACCTTTCCTGTACTTGTTATAATCAGAGGGTTTCTCTGTTATGAATTCTCTGATGTCGTCTAAGGGCTGAGGCACAGCTAAAATTATTCCCACACTCATTACATTTATAGGGCTTCTCTCCAGCATGGATTCTCTGGTGCAGCCTGAGGGACAAGATCTGATGGAAGGCCTTCCCACATTCATTACATTCATAGGGTTTCTCTCCTGTATGAACTCTCTGGTGTTGGTTAAGGTACGAGCCACAGCTGAAGGCCTTCCCACATTTGTTACATTCATAGGGTTTCTCTCCTGCATGACTTCTCTTATGGTGAATTAGAACCAAAGCATCACTGAAGGCTTTCCCACATTTACTGCATTCAAATGGTTTCTCTCCAGTATGAATTCTATGGTGTCGATTAAGTTGTGAGTCAGTCCTAAAAAACTTCCACATTTGATGCACTCATAGGGCTTTTCTCCTGTGTGAATTCTCTGATGCTGATTAAGGTGTGAGCGATACCCAAAGGTCTTCCCACATTCGCTACATTTGAAGGGCTTTTCTCCTGTGTGAATTCTTTGATGAAGAGTAAGGGCTATGCGTCTGCTGAAGGCTTTTCCACACTGATCACACTCATAGGGTTTCTCTCCTGTGTGAATCCTCTGATGCTGGTTAAGGTGTGCGCTCTGTCTGAAGGCTTTGTTACATTCCTTACATTCGTATGGTTTCTCTCCTGTGTGAATTCTTTGATGTTCAATGAGGAAGGCATAACGACTGAAAGCCTTCCCACATTCCTTGCATGCAAAAGGTTTCTCTCCAGTGTGGATTCTCTGATGTTGAGCAAGATGTGCGCTCTGTCTGAAGGCCTTGTTACACTCCTTACATTCGTATGGTTTCTCTCCAGTATGAGTCCTCTGATGTTCACTGAGAAAGAAGTCATGGCTAAAGGCTTTCCCACAGTCACTGCATGCATTTGGCTTCTCAGCACTGTGAATCCTCCGAGGCTGAGTAAAGAATGAGTAACAGCTAAAAGTATCACCACATTCACCATATTCATGGGGTAATTTTCCAAAATGAGTGGATGGGTGTTGAGTAAGTAATGAGTGAAAACTTAAGAGATTTGAAAAGTCATTAATTTCATAAGATTTCTCACCAGAAGGAATTCTTGTATCCTCACCAAAGTGTGTACTCCGTTTGAATCCACATTCATTTCCTACCAAAGACTCCTTCTCAGCATGTAGTCTTTTACAGTCAATTATGACTGAATTTGGGGGGAAAATTTTATCATAAATATCAAATTCATCTACCTGCTTTACTATAGGAACTTTCTTTTGAGTTAAGAGTGCTGACTTCACAGGGGTGCTTCTTCCAGAGTTATTATGTTCATTGTCTCCTTTCCCAGTAGAGATGTCCTTAACAGTTGTCACTGTCTTGAAATGCTTCTCCTGACCTCCCTGATGCCACTCAAACTCACCCTCACATTTCCAGGTTTCTCTGAAACTGGAGTGTTCAAGACCATGATGTGTGAGCCTTTCCATTACCATCTCCTGGGATATTTCTTCATCCTTAATGAACCATTTTGGAGGCAATTCCTTAATTTCACACCAAGACTTCCAGTCTGAAAAATATCAGAAAGCAAAATGTCTCCGTTTTCCTTTTGTTAGGAGAAAGAAACTATTAGAGAAGAAACTGAAGAATTTAACTTGAGGAGAGCAAGTACATGGTTCTACCATCTTCCAAATGTGGCTGTGCAAACACAAAGAATGAAGAAGTGATAAAGTTCCATGTGTTGGTGATGGGGATGCAGTGATGGAAAAAATAGGTAAAACATAGGGCACAGAGGCAGACAAAGGTAAATGCCAAGGACATAAGGAACTGAGGATGACTGGTTAAGTCATAATTAGCTTCTCTGCCTCTAGTCTTTAAAGACTCTGAGTCCATCCAGTGCTGGTATTCATCAAACTCAAAGCCCTGTGAAGGCAGGGACTGCTGTTAACTCCTTATTTCCCCTTTACTTTTGCATCTGGTGACTAAGGCAATGACAAGCTAATGAATGATGAATGCTGCCAGATTAATATAATAATTTATCCACTAATGCTGCTCAACAACTTCTAAGATTGCATCAGTTTCAAAGAAAGGTTATTATTTTTTTCTTAGTGTCTAGAAATCTGGAGGTTAGCTTTTTTCATCAGTGAGAGACAAGTGATGCCTGTAGCATAGACACTTGATACTTTCAGGAGAGGATGTTGGGGTAGAGTGGGAAGAAAATTTAAAAAGACCTCAAAAGCAGGGCACTGGTGGCTCACACCTGTAATCCTAGCTACTTTGTAGGCTGAGATTGGGAGGATTGAAATTTAAGGCCAACCAGGCAAACAGTTCATGAGACCCCATTTCCAAAATAACCAAAGCAAAATGGACTGAGGTGGGGCTCAAGCAGTAGAGTGCCTGCTTTGCAAGCACAAAAGCCCTTCGTTCAAACCCCAGGCACTTGTGCACAAGCACACACACACACACACACACACACACACACACACATACCTGACAAAAGTGGAAAATGAGAAAGTCCTTTTCTTGTCACACCACAATAATAACTAGTATATCATAATATATAGAACTTATTACTATGTTCCTAAGACCTAATGTGGGGGGGAGTCTAAGACAATGTCCTCCATTTTTAGACTCTAAGAAGAAGTAAAAATTGTTCACACAAAGACTTAATATGGTACACGATGAAGGACTGGTTAATTAAATGCCACCAAGGAAAGACTAAACTCACTAGCTTAGGTAAGAAATAATTCCTGGAGGACATAAGCTTGGTTTTCAAAGATATGATTAGAATTCCAAAATAGAGCAAATATTTCAGTATCAGAGCCATTTTCAAGTTTGGATAGGGTTAGGTAATTTTAGAACTGCAGATGTTACCATTTTGGGGTTCAGTTACATTTATAACTTTACAGTCTCCCATCTGTTGAAAAGAAAAGCTCTCTCCAGACTAGGTCAGCACAAAATTAAAAAGTAAGCTACAGCTTATGCATCTGTGTCTTTCTTCATTTCAAGAAAAGGAAAGGCCCATCCTTGTCAGTTCCTGCTGTGCACAGCCTTGTATTCTCTCTTACTTGGGCCTCTGTCTACAGCAAGAGCTTTGTTTGATGATCTTCTGTCATGTCCACAATATTCTTCATCTTTCCTCTGAAATACATTACTTTGAGCCCTCACGCTCACAGACCTCCTCCTCTGTACCCACACCCAAAGCCATTATATTGTCTCTTACCAAGAAAAAATCTTTCTGTCCTCCAGGCAAATGGCAGATTTATACAATATCTGAGTAATGCTGAGTAAAAGAAGCCTAATGGAAGAAGACTGTAGATATTTTCTAAACTGGGGAATTTTGAGGTGCTGGGAGCACCAACCACTTTCTTAAGAACAAATAAAAACATGGCAGAAAAACACTGTAGGGAAAATAGCCTGAGAAAAGTATAGAGCAGGAAATAAAGTACTGAATGTGTGGAAGACACATTCAATAGGGACTGGAGTAGGGAAATAGGATTAATGGTATTATAATGACATTCAGCAAAAAGAAGAGAAAAAGGAAATTATGGATTAAGGCAAAGTGAAAGAGAATTAAATGGGCATCCATGTGGCACAGCAGAACTGACACAGGCTTTGAAGCCAAAGATCTCCCTCTGCATCTAGCTAGACAGTTATTCTACCTTTAACAAACTGAGGGCTGGAGAGGGGGTGTGTTTCAAGTAGAAGAGTATCTGCCTCACAAGGTTGAGACCCTGCATTCAAAACTCCAGAACCACCAAACAAACTGAATAATCTACTTCTCAAGTCTCCATTTTCTTTTTGGCAAAATGAGGTTACCTTGCAAGTATGATTAGAGAATACAAGATAATATATTTGCAAGATACCAAGAAGTGTCTGGATCATCATAGATATTCAAAAAATAAATTATCAAAAAATAAATCAATCGACACTAAGTGTTTCTTGCACCCACAACACCAGCAGGCTCAGATATTATTACATTTATGTCTGAACAATGAGTATGAAATAGACTAATTGTGTCAAGTAGCAAGACAAAAAAATAGAAAAGCTAAATCCTTTGGGGTTAAAATGTATCCAGACAATGTGTTAGGTATTAGAGATATGTAATTTGTAACTGGTTATAATCTATAACAATGGAAGCTAGAAACTAGAGTATGTTCAACTCTGGAATTCAATCAGAACCATGTAGTAAGTAGGCTGATATATGGCACTGGAAGCAGAAAAATTCTTACTAGACTGTGGACCTAGTCTCCCACACATTGAACTTGTGGGCAACAAACAGACAGATATACAGTCTTCTCTCTGTATTTGAAGGTTCTGCACCCACAGATTCAACCAACCATGGATCAAAAATATTGGGGAAAAAGTTTAGACATGTATAGACTTTTTTCTTCTCATAATTCCCTAAAGAAGACATGAACATGTATAGACTTTTTTCTTCTCATAATTCCCTAAAGAAGACAGTCTAACAATTATTTACATGGAATGTACATTGTATTAGGCGTTATAAGTAATTCAAAGATGATTTAAAGTATATGGCAGGATGTGTGCAGGTGATATGCAAATGCTATACTGTTTCATAAAAGGACTTGACCTTCTACAGATTTTGGTATCTGTGGGGATCCTGGATCCAAAACTTCATATACCAAGAGATAACTGCATTGATAAAGTAAATTACCATTATATTACTATCATAAAACCCAGGAGATTCTAGTGGGAAGTCTATGGGAAAAGGTCTGGGATCTATGGAAAGCACAAGAAGGGGACTGTACACATATATGGAATTATCACAATGAAATCCCCTCATATTATTAATGCATGATAAATCAAAATAAAATAATTTTTAAAAAGAAGGGGGGTTCACTGCTAATAATCAGAATATGTTCCAATAGCCTGACCAATGACATGGCCTGTATTACCTCCTTTAAAGACTGCATTAGTGCTACGCTATTCAATATAGTAGCCATTAGCTATATGTGGCAATTTAAATTTAAATTTAAAAATTCAGGTCCTCAATCACACTAGCTACATTCAAATGTCCAAAGCCAAAAGTCACTAATGGCTATTGTATTGAAATACGCAGACATACATTATTTTCATTAGCACAGAAAATTCCACTAGATTGCATTGGGTAGAGATCCAGGTTGATGTGACAAAGATCTTATGGTTAAATGAGGAAAAGTCAGAAAGCCAGGGACAGGAGTCAATTAAAAGGACAGAAAATCAGATCAGAGCTTTGGAAAGAGAAAAAAGGATAGTGGTCAGATTTATCTTATAGCTGGGCACCGGTAGTTCAGGCCTTTATATCCTAGCTACCTGGGAAGCTGAGGTCAGGAGGATTGTGGTTGGAGGCCATCCTACCAGATAGTTCAAGAGATCTTATCTCCAAAATGACCAGAGCAACTAGACTGGAGGTATAGCTCAAGTAGTAGAGCACCACCTGTTTTGTAAGTGTGAAGTCCTAAATTCAAACTTCAGTCCCACCAAAAAAAATAACCGAAACTATCTTATAATCTCAGTAAGTCAAGAATATGAAAATAAAGAAAGCTATCTGGATTTAGTCAAACTACAGGAACAAAAGCCAGACTGCTAGTGGAAAGAGAGCAGAAGAGAATATGAAATAAAGTGAAGATTACATCTGGCACATGTGGAAGAGGAAGGGGAGCATGGCTTGCAGGAATATTAAAAGGAGTCTATAAAATGTGAAAATATTTTTTAAAAGATTCATATAAATAAATGCAAAATATAACAGTGCCGAAGAAAAAAGTAATAAATGCATACTTTTTAAAATTTCTTCTATTAATTTATATCAGGTCAATTTCAGTAAGAATTCCATATGGATTTTGTTTCTGGACTTAGAAAATTATTTTAAAGAACACAAGGAAAATACGATTAACAATGAAAATTCTGAAGAAAGAGAAGAAGATAATGGATCTAATAATATGATCCAAGACTTGCATTTTATACCTTCCTCCCATCAAAATCTTGGTGAAAGGAAAGACACAAGCAGGGCGACTTGTAAAATTCTGTGTCATTGTGGGGAATGTCAAGAGCGAATGCCAAAAGAAACACACGTGAAGTACAAATACTCGCAGTGTGCAGAGAACTGAGTGAGGAAGAGCATGGACCTCCTGACCACACCTGGTTGAAGGGAAACTCACATGGGGCATACAGGAAAGGTTTCTGTGTCAGTCTGAACCTATCTGAGAGGCTCAGTATTAGGGCTGTGCCTAAATATTTTCCCTTTTATGGAGAAATAAAAATACTCAGATAACTCAATGTATAAAAGTAGAAAGATTCTCTCAAAATATCCTTAAAACCACTACTGTTGTTAGCTAGTGCCAACACTGAATATCCTTCTAGAATTTTCCCTGCATAGATACACAATTGTTGGGCACAGTATTTATAGCCTGCTTTTTTCCCCCCTTAAAATACCATAGACATTTCCCCATGGCAATACAAATAAAGCTATTTCATTCAAAGGACAGACAAGTCATAATTTAGGTAACCAAACAGCTAATAGGCATTTGTACTTTTGTCCCCCAAAATGAGTTATTTGCTAGCCAAGAA